GGAGGCCTCCTCCGTGCAGGTGTGCCACCCAGCTGCAAAGCATTAGAGAACGGCCGGGGACAGACAAACGCAGCAAACGATGGGAGGAGGATCTTTGCTGGTCGTCCTGAACTGACCCGACCGCCAAGAAACCCACCTCGCGTAGGCAGCATCTCCCACTTCACGCTGATTGACGCTGCTCCACGGGGGCTCTTCGCAGGGACTGCAGCCTTTTCAAATCCAGGCAGCTGGGGCTGGCCAGAGTTAACGCTCTTAGGGCGACGTGCCCTTCCTCTCTGCCCCTGCTTAACGGCAATAGTGGCGTGCTAACAGAGCGGCAGTCCTTCGCACGCGCTTGAGCTCCTTCACACAGTTCGAAGGAGCCGTTTCCGAAAGACGGTGTAGCTGAGACCAGGGCTTGAGGGTCCGCTCCAGATAAAGCTGCGCGAACCGCTGCAAGCACAAGTTTCCCTCCTACAGGGCAGCAGCCTCTTCTGGGCAGAGTCACTTCACATTTGCTACCACTGGTCCCGTTAAAAGGACGACCGATTTATGGCTCGCAAGCCTCTTAGCGCTAACGAGCTAAGCACGGTCAGGTCTGATGAGGATTTGGATACAAGAATTTACTTAATCCTGCGGCGAGGAAGAAAATCCCACCTGCCGGAGGCACCGTACTGGCCGGCAGGCAGCAGCCTTGCACCGGCCCCTTCATCAGGGTGGCAAGGACAGCGGTGACGGCCCCGTGCTGCAGGCTGGACGAGGGCTGTGATGACGGTGTGGGTTGACCCCACCATTGCAGCATAAGCTACCCCGGCTGCCGAGGGATGCGGGCCAAAGCCGCCCCGTTGTCCCTCCCCTGGGTGCTCTCCTGCCTAACTGGGATGGTCCCCCACTTACTGCTGGCTCTTGGGAAGCCTGTCCAGAGGCGCCCTGCTCTGCCCCTGCCCTGCGGAGGGACGCTGAAAACCACCGCAGTGGGCAGAGGGTGGGCACCGTGTCCCCAGCACCAACCCGTCTTCTCCCCAGCTCCTCTGCTGCTGATCCCCGCTGCTTGTTGGGGTGGGCACAGCCTTAGGGGAGTAGTTGTACCCTACCAGCTTGGTGTGTGTTCTTCAAAAAAAAAAAAAAAAAAGGGAAAAAAAAGCAGGACAAAAAAGGGGGGGAAAGTGCTATATTTAGGTACCTGAAACTCAGTTCTAAGGGGCACCTATGTAATCCAAAATTGCAAGTTGTAGGGTCACGATCGAACTCATATAGCTTTCTTTCACATTAACCGTGTGACACGCTAAACTGACATTATTTGCCAATTTCTTTTTAACCTCTCAAAGACGGATGGATTTCCTGGGAGCGTGTATGTTTTAAGGGACATGCCTTATCCTGTCCTATTCGAATTTATTTAAACAGCGGTGGCAGATGAAGCCGCTCCCCTCGCTGGAGCGCTGGCCACCTTTCTTCAGCGACAGGGGAACGTGTCTTCTGGGAACGCGTCTCCTGCCCCGGGGAAACACAATGTGCCTGGTGCTTAATTGCTCATTTCCCTCTCCTCGCCGCCGTCCCCTTGTCTCCCCTGCCAGGAAGGAAATCTCCTCTGTGCCAGGCCTTTCTGTAACTTCCCCCCTGCCGCCGCTGCCATAAGCGGCTGAGCAGGTAACTGTTGCATTTAGCCTGTCTGCAGCTCCTTTCAGGAGCTTCCTGCTGCAAGGAGAAACATCTAGCGAAGAAGGGGAGCCGCTGTTCAGCCTTTTTTCCCCACTTTTTGGACTCGTGCCAGGGATTCTCCTCCCTGCCCTCGGGGTTTCACCTCCGCCTTACCAGGCGGGTTTGGGGGCCGTGTTTTCAGGTGCCGTACTAGCTGGCCTCAGCGGCGCCGCTTCCTCCCTCCTCCCGCCCCGGCGCCAAGCAGGTTCTGCCCTGGTTGGGTTTTTGGCTCCGGGGTTACAGCGAAACCCGGCTGCCGAGCGGCTGGAGCGCGGGCGTTCGCTGGGCAGCAGCGCTCAGCCGCGCGCAGGGCATCCCGCGCCCTGGGCCGGCTCGTGGGAAGCAGCTCAAGTGGGAGGGTAGCCCCCAAGGCCGGGAGCTACTCCACAAACAGGAGGAAAAGGGTCGCTCTTGGCCGTGCGGCTCCCGTGGCCACCCCAGACTGCTGGTGTCTTTTTGCAGGGTATATGTCGTGCTAAAGAAAGATCTGTTGTATGGCAATACCTTTTTTTTTGGTTTTTCCCCCTTTTACTCTGCTCAGGTTAAACTTTCCAGGGAGGTGACAACTTTGGGTACCACCGAAAAGGAGCTCAGTGGATCTGGTCAAGCGTCAGCATTGCTCTCGTTGACTGTCTCGTTGACTGCCTTTACTTATCCATCAGCTTTGACAAGACTCTCCTTGATTCACACCAGCGTGAGATGACAATCAGGTCGGCGACACCTCCGTTCTTGCCTGTCGCGCAAGCGTCGTCGTCTCTTTCTGCGTGCCTTTTTTTCAAAGACTGTGCCTCGTCCGCAGCCAGCATGCAGCCAGAAAACCTTGTGGGAGGGTATCGCCCCCGAGCGTCCCCTGAGGCACAGTGGCCACCACGTTGCACGGTCAAGGGTCCCCGTGGGGCCAATGCAGCGCTGGCAATCCCTGCACACGATGGGCCGCCCCAGACTGCCTCCAAATGCCTTCTGGTGCTGTATTTTATTAATTTTTCAATCAAAACCCAAAATCTAAGCACCGGCCCCAACTCCCCAGTAGACCCGAGGACGCTCGGTGAGGCACCTCAGGCTCCGGCCGGCATGGGGGACTCGGGTGCCTCGGTGCGGCAAGGCAGGAAAGCCATCCCCCTGCAAGGGGGCGAGCAGAGGTGGCCAGAGGAGGCCACCGTGGCAGGAAGCTTGCCCGAAAAGGCACCTTTTCTGTGAGGGGCTGCCGCCACCGGGTGCAGAGGGGGCTCTGCACAGACCGCCTGAGCGCAGGACACCGCCGGAGGAGGCGCCGGCACGGGCAAGGGTGGCCGCAGCACCACGCTGAGTGCCCAAGGGTCACAGCTTCAGTGCGGGGATGGTCTGCCCTGCAGGCGTTGTGCTACCAAGCGGGGTGCTTTGCTTGAACCTGTAACATCAGAGGTCATTCTTTGTGATTAGCTCTTTTTCTGTGCCCTTTAGGTTGTCTACTTATCCCTGATGCCAGTAATTCTTTATTCCATTACTCCTGATTCCCTTATTTTGCCTGGACTCGCGACAAGGTGGTTCACCAAGTGTTGCCTTCAATACAATGGTAACTCTTTTCCAAATTCATGGAGTTTCTTTGGGATTCCAATAAATGTTACAAACGCCTACAGGCTACGTGGCCTCCCAACCATTCTATGTACGAGGTGTCTGTGCTCGGAGTCGTTAAAATGCTTATCACTTACAGAAATTAATCGCACTCTTGATTATTTCTGGTATGGGAAAAACATCCCCAGCTTCATTTGATGCAGAACACTTCTGCTCCTTTCAGGAAAGAAAAACAATATGGAAACTTTGGCCTGTTCTGAATCATTACTTAAAAAACCCAGCCCCTCCAAATTGCTCCACTTGGTAAAATGTTTATAGCCTGTCTGCTTCTAACGTAATTAAGGATAACTACCTAATCAAGAATAACTAATTCTTTGCTCCTGGCCACTTTATTGACCTGTTTATCAGCTTCCAAGCACTCCTTGATCAGTTTTCTACCTGACTGTTAACATACTAATTGCCACTTGGCTGTGTTGCCTATTCATTATGTATTATTTAATAACTACCTTCAATAAACCAGTGAACCACAGTGAGCTGTTAGCCAGCTTCTTATTTTCCTAATTAGCAGGACAGCTTTTTGGCTCACAAATAAGGCTTTCAAAGAACTTTTAAATTGGCATCCACGCTTTTCTGTCTCATCACACTTGATGCCTGCCTGTGCTACTGTGGACTAAGCAGGCAGATGTCCACCAAGCAGAGCTGCAGGCACTTAGGCAAGTTGGAAATACTTCAACAGTGGCAGAGAAGCGGTGAGGTTTTCACAGCTAAGTAAGTCCCAACGGGAGGGGAGAATTCCCTAGTCGCCATGAGCAAGAATGGCTGATACCTGCTCCTGTCTTCTCCCAACAGCAGCCAGAAACAAGATTTATTTATTCTCCAGTGCCCAGAGTAACTCAACATGCAATTTCAAGACAACCAGTTGAGGACCACCAGGTAGATGGAGAAAGCAAGAAAACAAAACACACAAAAGCATTACAGCTTACAACGAAAGCTTCTTATTATGAATAGTTGCCCAACGTGCATCTCGCTGCATAATAAATGGAGATTAGGAGTGAATGTGTAAGCATTTCCTAAAGGTGTCACACTGGTGCAAACTCATTGACCTACAGCCGGATGGTACCTGGCACAGCAGACACAGCACCTCCACACCTCGCCTCCTCGCTTCTCAGATGTCAACGGGGCAGCAACCCCCAACAGCAGCTCTGCGATAAGGTTAATAGGGGGAACGGGTTCACATCCGGTACTACTAAAGCGGGGTGACCCGCACGGAGACCGAGCGAGCGACCACCTGCGCGCAGCCGGCCCCGGGCTCCCGGCGGGGCTGCGGTGAGGGCACCCGCGGGACTCGCCACCCACAGAACAGGCTCTGGGAAACATGCTTTATTCGTTCAGTTTCAACGACACCTTATTTAATGACTCAAGATTTCTTTTTTGGTCAGTGTAGCAGCACTTAGGTACCCATCTTGCTGAAAAAGATTAAGGTGTTATAAAAAGTTTAACAGACATTCATCCTTTAATATAAAAACAGACACTGAAATGGATTGCGAAGAGCTGTCATCTATGCCGAAGTAAATCCCATCTTTCACTTTTGTAGACTAATTAGTAAATGTATGTTTCACCAAACAAAGGTTTTAAACGCTTGTATCCTAGTACTGTACAAAATGAGCTGAAAAATGGCAAGTAGAAAAATCGGCTGCAGTGCATTAAAGATGAATGTATGCCTAAGAACAACACTTAACCTCAGTACTGGCATCAAATAGACTAAACGTTCATTAACAGGAAAATATTTTGATTTTTATTTTTTCACGTTATTATCAAGTACACAATTACAATAATGTCACACATCCCTATATGATTCTATGTATTTTGTTTTTTCTTTTGTCTTTTTTACAAAGTGTACAGAGGGCAGGACGTATACAATATTTAACAGGGTATTTTCTACAGAACAATAATTTATATTATGTCCTTGTAAAAATCTGTACCTTTTTTAAAACATTAAACTGAAACATCCATTTTATAGCATTTGCTAATCAAATTATTTAAGAATTAAAACTAACCTGTAACTAATGTCAGTACATTAACAATAACTATAATTTCATTTTCTCTTTATACAGACAAATACATTTTACAAAATCCACTTGACCAAACCCTTAATTATTAAAAAAAAAAAAGTTTAAACATTGTGCTTAAAAAAAAAAAAAAAAAAGGGATGTGTATGATTCCAGGCTACGTAAGAGGAAGAAAACGTGTAAAATTGTGTTCTTTGTCTTTCAGCTTATTTAAACAAATAAAGTTCAAAATGGCTAACATCCTCAGCAACGTTATGGGAATCTAGGCAAATTTTGTACATTTCTCAGGTTTCCAGTTACAAAATGCTTGAAGGTAAGAGGGAAATAAAGTCAAAGAAAGATATATTTTGCAAGATTTGAATTGAAAATATCTGTTGGGTTTTTAATGCATCTGATTTGGCAATCAGTAGGCAGCGGGCAGACAGCTATGGCCATGTAGAAAATCCACTGACTTCGCTGGGGTTTTCAACGAAGGCACAGAGTAGCACGCCTAACCGAGGCAGTACACACTCAAGGCTCACGGCCCGTTACTACCAATATTACGCAAGAGCACGTTGGCGTTGTCAAACAGGCATCAAAAGAAAAGAAACATTATACAACGGAGAAGGATAATGACACGGCATTAGACTCGCCTGAACCGAAGAGGAAATTCAAACTAAACACAAGTATTTAAGCTTACAGTGAAACAAAAAGGACTGAGCAACAGGTCTCAACAACAACAAAATACAAAACGTTTTGAAGATGAGTGGCTGAAAGGAAACCTTTGTCCCTTTATGACCCCCAACCTGAAATCATTACTCAAATTCCTGTTTCCTTTCAGTAGGAAGTCTACCTGCCTAGAACCTAGAGGAAACCCTGGGTCAGGCTCTGAATCTGTTCCATTAGGGAACTGTGCCACTGAACATAATGAATCTACCAGCAGTTGATGGCATTACTGGTTACAGCCAATCCACATGTGGTAGTTAGAGTCGGGTCCAAATTCTGCAATCCCGAGTCAGCCAGTGGCGTCAGTGGGAGTTTGAGGAAGGGCAGCGGGATTAGGCCCTCAACTCTGCCAGGTGACTAAATCGTTTGGCTTTTTTGTTCAACATTTGTTGTCAAGATACGTGACTTTGTGCTTTGTACATTTATAGGGCAATTAGCAAATGACAGAGCGCTCTTTTATAATAATCTTCAGGTGGCAAAATTGCACGTAATAATTGTAATGTTCTCCCAGCTGTTTTATAAGCAGATGAAAAGAACTGGGTTAATTCTGGATACTGAACTAATTAATAAACAGCAGCTTAACACAGCTGCTAATGGCTCAGGAAAAACATTCATTTTAGAAACAGTTCTGTTACTATCACAAGTTACTTCTCTTATTAAGGATATCTACATAAAAACATCTCTATTCCTTAGGAACATATCTGCTCCATTCCATTCCCACCTGAAGCGCTCACTGTAAATATCTGATTTCCAAAATCGAGGCACCTCTCGGTCTGAAATTTTGTATCGGTTCACAATAAAAATGCGACTTGACCCACATACTGCTCTTTTGAAGAAATATCAACATTAAGTACATTTTAAGTACATTTTAAGTACATTTACTTGCATGTACAAACAGTTGTAATCTACCAACTTTGCAAATGGAACAACAACATTTCATGTTTCCAACATCAAGCCAGCAGTAAATTGAAAAAAAGCAACTAATTTGTAACACACAACCTTTCAAAGACAAAGAAGCACAGAATAATAAACATAATATCTGAGCATATTTTTAAATCTTCCAAAGGAAAGAAAGATAACAAAAGCCCCAACCATTATTTTTTTTTTTTAAGTTTTTACCTTTGAAACCTGAATTAAAATGCAGAATAGCTTTCTTCAATGTTAAAAGTGTAACTCTTCAAATGTAAGATAGTTAACCTGCCACAAAGTCTGTATAGTTAAAACAGGACAATTAGGTGGGCCCTAGTGACTTTATCTTCAACATCACAATTCCCCATTTTATATACACCTCTGATAATTTTAATCAAGAGAAATTTTGTATTTTTTAAATTCATGACAAAACTGCTTTAACATGGACACTGTGAGTATCAACGAGGTCAGTAAGATAAATATATTTAAATAAGCTATTATGGTTGAAAAATTCAGTATGAGACAGGGTTTACTTTATTAAATGCAACTTTATTGTTGCCATCTTTTCTTCATTTATTAAACAAACTGAATAGAATTCCGAACACGCTATTGAACAAAAGGTATAAAAGTCAACTAGAAGCAATAATCCTATTTTTATACAGCAACAAATCAAATGCACAGTATGTTTTTTTTTTGTTGTTTTTCTGTGTGTGATCGCAGGTGATTGGCTTTAAAATAAGCTAACTGCCTGAAAGGCAAAATTCCTTTGTAATTCCAGCCGTAAGTCTGTGAAAGAGACTTTAAGGCAGCCCAACATCTTTATGATGCCGCATTATGTGCTGGTTCTTCTCTGAAGGCCTTCGGAAACCTTTCTTGCAATACTCACAACGGTGAGGGTAGTCTTTTGTATGAATGGAAATAACATGCCGTTTGAAGCCTGAGGCATCTGTAGTGCTATACTCACAGTACTCACACTGATAAACTTTTCTGCCACTGTGTGTTTTCATATGTTTTTTCAGCTCATTTTGTTGCCTAAAGCCCTTTCTACATCTCTTGCACCTGAATGGAAGATCCTTTGTGTGAACTGAGAGTATGTGGCGACTCAGAATAAACGGATCTGCAATCTTAAAGTCACAATGTCTGCATTGGTGCAATTTTTTACCCTTGTGAGCCGCCACATGTTTTTTCAGTTCCGAAGGCCTATGAAAGCCTTTATCACACATATCGCACTTATGAGGATAGTCTTTTGTGTGGACTGAAATTATGTGTCGTTTCAGATCGCTTGAGTTTGAGCTCTTATGGTCACAATGCAAACACTGATGTGTTTTACTTTCTTGATGCATAAGCGTATGCTGCTGCAGCTCTTTGGTATCTGAAAAAGTCTGGAAACAAATATCACACTTGAATGGCATTTCCTTACTATGTTTAGTCTTTATGTGAGTTTTCAAGTTAGAAGAGTCGGCAGATCGGTATTCACAATATTGGCACTGGTATGGTTTTTCACCAGTGTGGATTCGCATGTGCTTCTTGAGCTCTGACGGATGACGAAATCCCTTGCCACACTCTACGCAAATATGAGGAAAGTTCTTGCTGTGGACAGCTAAAAGGTGATGACTCAGTAATCCTTGTTCTGCTGTCTCATAATCGCAGAATTTGCACTTGTGCATTTTATTAACTCCCTTGTCCCTGTGCACCATCTTGTGAGTAAATAAAGCTCCTGCATGAGAGAAGCTTTTCCCACACTCATCACACTCAATAAGCTTTTCTGTTTTGTTGGTCAGCTTATGACTCTCCAAGTGGTTATGTAAACTTATTTTTTTATTCGTAGTGTAATCACAGTCTGTGCATCTGTATTTCTTCTTAGTAAGAAGGTGCTCTGGGTGGTTTTTCATGTGCCTTTTCAAGAAACCTCTAGATTTAAATTTCTTTCCACAAATCATGCAGGGGTAGACCGTCAACGGATGACCATCGGGACCAATAATTATTGCTGGAAAACAACAGAAAACTTGATCAATGTTACACTTCAATACATTTCGTATTTCAGCCTTAACAGTACGCCAAACTGTTCTGTACGATCAAGTTTGTATGTACTGTTAAATGGAGCTTTCCTGTATTTATTAAATGGAATTGCTAGTCCATTTTCCAATGTTAACAGCTGCAGTTTCAGAACGCCCTCCTACGCTCACCACCATGACCACCTCTCCCCACACACACACTCTCCAACTAAAAAAAAAAATCCATGTCATATCAGTTATATTAAAGGAATCCGTAAAAATTCAACAACTTAACAGTTATTAAACTTCTAAGAGTCATTAAATATTGTCTTTTCATTAGAAACTATAATTTTAATCAGAGAAGGAAATCATATGTCATCATCTGTGACTATAACAGCCTGAAACAGCACGCTACCATAACAGAATTTTAATTTAACATTAAGAAAATGAATAGATTCTACTTGTTATACAAAGGCACAGACCCATACTTTGCTATGTAATTATTGAGCTTGCTACTGGGTTAGGTGTAAGAAATGGACAGAATTACTATTTTCATTAATTACTGTTATTAGGAGAGAAAAAGAAACTATCCATTTTAGATGCAGAAAACCAAAGTATCGTGCAGATGTTCTTCCCCTCAAATATTTCTATTTTAATACATTGTGACTGAGTTCACACATTAAATACATGCAGAAACCAATGCTGGTGCAAAGAACAGCACCCAACTTGTTAAATTGAGTATAATATAGTAAGTATATCACCACATAATCTTCATCTACTTTCCATGAATTTGTAGACAAAGTTTAATCTGGCAGTTTAATCACCTTTCACTGACTACAGTTCACATGCCCCCAAACTAACACCTCCTTCTGGTACCATCTGTCACCATTACAATCAGCAGGAGTCAATGGGAACGTGTTTCACATGAGGACACCTCAAAGCTTTGGAAGTTGTTCTTTTGCACTGACCCATCAGCCTGAATTTGTTTTTCCTGAATTTGTCTAGGCATGCTAAAACACTCTTTTCCAAAAAAAAGGTTTTAGAAAGAGAACTTAATAGGTAGCTGGAAATACGAAAAGTAAACTTTAAGGATAAAATTTGCCTGGTTTACTAATTGAGAGTTAGAAAAAACTGGAATTCCTACAGTCAAGTCACAATTTGGGAAAGGAACTTTAAGTTGGTATAACTTAAGTTGAGGCTACTAAAGTGAATAGTCATGTGCTTTTTCAACTTTATCAGACCAAATAAATCATTCAGACCATAATGCAGTTGCAGTAGAAATCCAATAACCCCAGAATAGCCTATCTGTTCTTATACAGTCAAGTAAGAACACTGGAACAAACCTGAAGATAATTTGTTTCACAGGTAAAACAAAAAAGGGCATAGAATTTACACTACCTAACAAAACATACAAAGTTCAGATTTTCCAGTTACTTATTGAGTTGATATAACGCAATGCATTAAATTTGTTTTCTAGATTTTCAAAAAAGCCAAAAAGGTTTTTTTTTTAAAGTACTGTTATTCAACACTGTTTAGCTGTCTAACACCATCTTTAAAGAAGTTATATTAAAATTAGCGCAGGACGTTTGCAGGCTTTCAATCTTTTGCTATGATACTGTTCTTTCTATGGCTGAGACAGTTTCACTTCTACTGGAAGCTCTGATGCCAAATTTCCCTAAAAAAAGAAAAATCAACACAATCCAAACCAACTATGCATTTAAAAGCTTTAAAATAAAATATGCACTAGTCTATGAGGTAAAATTATTTTGTTGCCAACAAAATAATTCCTCAAATAATCATTGTTTTTAATAAGACATTGCACACCCTATCAACAGAGTACAATTGCTTATGGATAAGTACCTACACGAACCAAAGTTCATGTTAAAGAGACACCTACTAAATACTCACCTGTTTGATACTGTCTAGACTCAGGTCTCCTTTTTTTCTTTGGTTTTTGCTTAGCCAGTCTCCCAAGTCCAGCTGACTCATCTATGTGCAAAAGAGCACTTGCAGTGCCATTCCGACTTTCAATCCCATCATTATTATTACCTAACAAGATAAGTTAAAAAGTTACCTGCTGTCATCACTCTACATATTATTTGAGCCTCAAACTCTACAATGGTAATTAAAAAAAAAAAAAAACGGCAAGATAAAGCATTAGCTTTTTATAATAATAACATACAGGAGGAGCTGCAAAACTGCTCTGGGTGAAACTTATGAATTGCTTGGCATTATGAACCTGGAGGTGCTGGCTTTGTTAAATTAAAACCCTACATGATTTACAGGAGTAAATCAATTTCCATTTCCCAAAAAGTTCTCCTTTGAATGCAGGATTTTTTGTAATTCTTTGGTTACTAAATATGCCCAAAATGTTTCATGTCACTAAATACAGGCATGTCACAGTACTCACTGTGCCCGATTTTCTACTCAGTCCTGATATACATTAATGTGTAAGCTCCCATTCACTTCTGGACATCTGAATTTACCTGACTGAGTTCCTCACATGCCAAGTTGCAGAACTGGAATTGCGATCAAGGAATCATTCTGAACGGCCCATAAACTTGCATACAAAGTACACAACATACTATTTGGGCATCAGTATTTTAACATTTACAAGCTATTTCTATTGGAAACAAAGAGCATGTGCAATACTGCATAATACAAAAAGGGAAATACTGTCTTTGCCTCACACACAAATGGTATCATGCGATGTAAAACAAACATGAGAATTAAAAGTAAATATATCTATATATTTAGGAAGATATTTACTGGCTATTTGTTTAACTTCTGGTGATTTGAGTGCATAAGTAAACTTTAAGAACAAAATTTGTGGAGAAGTATCTACTTGAATCAAGAGAAGGCAACCGCTTCTAGTGAAAGAAGAGCACGCAAATAAAACATAAAGACCAAAGCAGAAGAAAATGCAAGATGCCCAATAGCTGTTCCCTCTGTAGAGTGCAGTGAATAAATATTTATGATTGAATGTGAGAAGAACCACAGCCATGAACAGATACGGGCAGCGCCTGAAGGTTCTATCCATACACTAGCAAAAGCGCTGAACAGCAAACGTGGCAAGTGACATAAATGTCCAAAACCCCTTTCACATCTTAACACGCGAAAAGCATGATTTGCAACAGGTATGTGAAGAGTCTTTCTGGAATGCAACACAAAACAGGACTAAAACATTTTCTAACACTAGAATAAATCTGCAAAACTTGCTGCAATGTAAAGCACAGTGGAACTGGGCTTTGCCACAATACAGCAGCAACATAGGTTTAACGTTTTAAGATCCCATTGGTATAAGCTCTTAGACCCTCTTTAAGTGGGGGAGAATTCTGAGACCTGCAGACCACAAACCTCAGTCATTTCATGCCTTTGTGCTTCATTATTTCTTCCCTTTCCTCCTAATTTCTCTCGCACGTTAGGTTCCTCACTGCTGACAATACGATCGCTCTACTCTCTCCCCTATTTTTTTATTCCATTTTGAATTCCATTTCTCTTTTTTTAATAGTCTGCCCAATTTTCTCATTCTTCTTCAAAGTCACTGAATGTGCTGCCTACAACTGTTGTCCTGAGTCCACTTAATTTCATTTCTGAAATCCCACTCAACCTGGCTGCTGCCTATTCTTCTCAACTAAAACTGCGCTCACCAGCATTTGGCCAAAGATAACGCTCTAGATGCATTCTCGTTTTTCTCCTGAACGACTTTTAACACACTCTGCTTCCTGAAATCTTGTTCTCCCTTGACTTACTTCCATGATTCCAGCCCCTTATTGCATTCTCAGCACGTCCCTGACATTGGACACAATCCGTATCACGCATACACATATCTAAGTATTGTCCTTTATTCCACCATTTCTTCTGCTTCATTTACCCAAAGTATGTTTAGGAGGAGGGGGCAATAATTTTTAAGAACGAGATTATGCCCTATCAGCTCATTTAAGTTGGTGCACCAGTTGGCGCCCAGGTACTAATATTCAGGAAAACAGTTCTGAATGCTGGAAATATTCCCAAAGGTCCTGCTGCTATTTCAGGATATCTCCCTTCAGTTTCTTTTTTGTTAATTATTTCCATGTGTGAAACCACACATTTATATATTCCTTCTAGAATACATTTAAATCAAGCCAGGGTCAGTGTTGCTTTTCACTGCAGAACGGAATCTTATACATTCCCATTTGCCATTTAAAAAAAATACATAAATATTTAGTCCTATTCCCAAGCCAGCTCTTATTGTGTCCTAAAACTGTGAGATATACTCAAGATACAATTTTTCAGCTGAAACCGTGTGTACTTTCCCTTCTACATCATGGAAATATAAAGGACTATATCAAGGAATATATAAAAATATATTATCATATACATCATATATCATCACATATATATCATATCATATATAATCACCATATATATCATATATATCATACATATCATATATATCAATATATTATAATATATATCAAGGAATATACATAAAGGAATATATCAGGAAAATATAAAGCCTGTTAAAATAGAAACAAAAAGAAGTCTGCTTTACAGTTTCTCTCTTCTTCCCTTTTTAATTTTAAGGCTCATTAGGCTAAGAAACCAGTCTTAATGTAAAATCTTACAAACAAACAAACAAACACACACACACACACACACACACACACAAAGGCACAAATACACCACCACCCTCCAAAAAAAAAGCAATCCCAGAGATTTTGCTACAGCCAGTGTCACCTGTCTGAATATTACCTACCATAAGCTGCTGCCCAAGCTATGGGCATAAAAGTTTTAATTTCAGTGTCATCAATTTGCTGTTCATGGGCCACTGCTGCGTCTTCCTCTCCTACAATAACTTCCATATAAACCTCATCAGCTATTTCTGCAACATCTAAGAGAAAAAGAAATCAAGAAAAAATTAGTAAGAACACTGCACTGTTGAAAGTGAAGATCCCTGTCCCCATACGAAAGCCACCTACTTACTTAAATCTTCATCTTCATGCTGAGAATCATTTACAGTCATGTAAACCATTTTCTCCCTTGGAATACGAATACTGCTATTTTGATCAAGTAATCCAACTGCGTGATCATTCTCTGGCTCGCTCTCCACAATGTCTACTGTGCCTCCTAATGAGGAAGAATTAGGAAATAATTTAAGATACTTTGACTAAATTCTACTCTCAACTGCAGAACACTGAAGGTTTGTGGTTCTCTACCACTTGGACCCATAGCTCTTTACAGCTGATTTTTGAGAGACTCCACAGTCTCTAATTATACAAAATTTAAAATGTCAGGTAGGAGTATTCTAAAATGAGCATATTTTACCTAAATCATCTTCTCCAGGATCTGCTTTGAATATATAGACCTTGATGACTTCTGGACAAATGCCATCCACTTTACAAGAGCCACTTTCTGACTCTGCTTCCATGGTAATTTCAGCAGAACCTTCGTGTTCTATCTTACCAGCATCATCCACTACAAAAACAAGTTATTATAATTATCCAATCACACACAAACAGACAGATAGGAAAGACAATTTACTTTATTACTCAAATTTGAAAGCAGTTTGAAATTATGTTGTGATAAAGAACCTACCCATGTTTTTTCATATCCTTGAAAACGACAACAATAATAAACATAGAAATAAATTCAAGCCACAGTTCAGAGGAAACTGCAAGAGTGCTGCAGTCATATGACTAGCAGCATGAGCATCACACCACACAATGCTAATGGGGAAACAGGGATCTGCAGCAAGATGGTAGCAAGAAAACAGCACGTTAGTACTTAGCCTATGCCATAATTTCACTCATTCTCAATTTTAACTGTTTTCTCCTCCCCTTCTAACAAGCTATTAACTCATTTTTTCCAGAAGCATTACCTGTCACTCAACCCTGTCTCTAATGCAAGAGGTACTATTTCCACTACACAGAGTAAGACTTGGTTCCTTGCAAAGCAGTGTTATTACTGCTTTTTCAGCTGACTGGAAAGGAAACCTAAGTGAAAAGTGCAGGAGGAGAACGTCCACCTTTTCTCATCCACCCGACAGCTGAGAGAAGGAACACAGATCCAAAGCCCTGCCCTGACACTACAGCATGGGTGAATCTAGTCAACTGGTTGACTACAGAAAGAGATTTGCACTGGATTTTATACTATAACCCTATGTGTTCTCCTTGCTATCATCTGAAATTTCGTTCTCTTCCTTTCAGAACAAACAACAAACTGCAATTTGAAGTGCTGCGACTTGCCTTGGCCTCCCACAGAAATTTGGCTGATAGCCAACTTTAAAAGGAACACCACATTTCTGATTTTTAAGAGGTGTACTACACATGCACACACACCATCTTACTTTACAGATCATGGGCTTTCAAGACAAGCTACTGAATATGCACTGGCAAAAAATCAAATCCAGTGTCTCAAGACCTTCAGGGAATCTCCCAGCTTCAAAAGCCCAGAAGGTTCTCATAGTCTTGAATTTATTTAACTTAAGAGCTCTTAACGTGATAACATACTTGAAATTTGTGACTTTATTGTACATGAAGTTACTTTTGGAGGCTGATATGTCCCCCTCAGAGCCATGTACAACCTTGATTCATGATACCCAGACATAAGATTTATTCTAAAGAAGTGTAAGAACTGTCCAATAAATATTGTAATTTTTTTTTAAACTACCATGCCTGCCATATACAAAATACTTAATACAGCGTGCTCACTTTACTGGCACTCATGAAACGACCCCCATAACTAATCATGGTTGTGCTACTCAATAACTGTGCAAACCTACTATTTACTTTAAAATCTACTAAAAGATAAATTAAAAAAGCTTCAAATATTATTATTATTATTTTCCTGCCATCATGACAATATAAAGTATTTATATCAGACAAACTTCCACATCTTCTGTTTCATGCATCAACACAAAGAATCGTATGTATGTACAATTTCTCAATCATGTAGCATTAGTCAAAAAGAAATACGAAGTAGCATATTAAATTATGAAACACTGCAATAACTTAATCTATCATTCTCAGTACAAAAATAGCAGCTGAAAAGCATGAAACGCTATGTTTCCAAGTTCACGATCAACAGTCACTGTACAGAATGTTTCCAGTTTCAATAGTACGGTGTTTAAAAACGATTTTGTGTCAAGGCACAACAGAACATGCCTCTACACAACAGAGCGTTTCAAAAGTAAAAATCTTAAGATGTTACTTGGATCTTGCTAACAATGGAGCTCCACAGCACGTATATTCAGTTATTGAACTGACTTTTATAAATTTCTTGCCATATGCATGAAGCACCAAAGTTAATTCAAAGTTAATTTTTTGTCAGAGCGCTATACAAAAAATTAAACTTGCTTTGGTTCCTATGTTAGATTTATGCAGTTGTTCTCCTTTAACTTGGCTGTTTCCAGTGTCACGCATGTATACTTGGAAGGCTTTCAAATCAGCGTAGACTGATTTTACATCACTGAAGCCAAAGGAAAACTCTGCCGCCAAGTTCAACTGCTGCTGGAGCAGACTCAAGGAAGAAAAATTATAGCTGAAGTAACTAAAAAAAAAAAAATCAAAAACCAAAAACCAACGAAACAAACAAAATCCCAAACCTATGCGCACCATATGAGACGGGCTTGTTTCTTTTAACACAAACAGACAGATTATCTAGCTATGGAAGTATCCCTTGATAATGTTTTACAATAGAATTCTTGATTTTAAAAATATGCTCCACTTAAGTCTTTGAAAACAACAGATAAAAGTTCTCCAAGGTTCAAAGTCATATTTTAAACAACATGACTTTAAAAACATATTATACAATGTATAGTTTGTTTATCCCTAACTTCCTTCTCCATTCATCAGTAATTTTAAAAAGGTAATAGCTATTTAGTTCAAATATTTTTTAACAGTTCCTCTAAAGTGTAGCGACATGCAGAAATAGTCCACCTTTTCCTATATGAAAGGAAAAAATTTCACTGACAGATGGTAACGCTTGAGACACTGAAGTCCTCTGAAGGGCTTGACAAAGTAAGATCATCATCAGCATAGTAGCAAATAGGTAACAGCAGGAAGAAAAGTAGGGTGGAAAGAAAAATGAAAACAAGAAGATTAAAATCAGAAGAAGAGACAAACAAGGCACAAGAGAACGGTCTCTCAAGTAAGGCACCATTTCCATGATATTTTGTTCTCTGACTAAATAAGCATTCATCCATAAGGATTCATTGATGTTCTGGTAGCATTTATAAATTTTATCTCCGTTTAACACTTCCTCTATGTTTCTGCATTTTCCACATATCACAGTCTCACAATCAGAGAGAATCATACTCATAAATACATGACTGATCAAGGTTTGAAATTGAAACTCTGATGATGTTTGAATTTTTCACCCAAATTCATAGCCCATCAAGGGATCCCACACATACCTATCTCACCCCATGGTTGACTGCTATTGTTTTTCACATTCCTCAGACCTTTATAACACTCCCCTTTAAAATATTATTATTTTTTTTAATTTCAAAGTATTAGTTAAGTTTGTAAGAGATCACTTCCTTTCTAGTACAGACACTGGGCAGTTATTAAACTAATCACAGGTCACATACTAGAAAAAAATTCAGAATGACATTTTTCCAGTGCTGTCATACACTATGCATGTATGTCAATTAGATATGAACTGAAACTAAATGTATAATATCATTACGCTTTCTCTACTAGCTGGTGGCTTTACTTGAGTAAAAGGGTAGCTTCAGATTAATTCTCTTAGTTGAAAAAAAAAAGAGAGAAAAATCATTAGAAACAACATTATGCTGTGCAGGGTAAACTCCAAGAATGCAATCTACAGCTAGTTTGCTGAGACTCTTCATAGGTTTCACAGACTAGATGAGCCTGCTCTTTTTATATGCAAGCTGTAAGAAACAACTAAAAAAAGTATGCATTTCCAATATTACAATAATGATTTCCATATAAAGGTAATAATTAAATTTTTTATGAAAAGCACAACTATGAGAAAGGTTCCCACAACACAGACGACATGGCATAATCCCTATTTAAAGCCTATCCAGCAATCATTTACAATACAGAGAAAACAACAAAAAGAGACCAAGAGATAAGAAAAGAAGGAATAAAGGGTCAAGGAAAGAAAAACAAGGTATTAATAACAGAGGTTTTTTTAAATATTTATTCTATTACAATGGCATTTGTCTCCCAGTAAGTGTTATATCTAAAGGAACCAAATTAATTAATGCCATAATCTTTAACATCCAAGCAATATAACCATCTCCTGTATCTTTCTCCTCCTGTGAAAATACATCCAACTGCATTCTTGGGACAGAAACAAGCCCACATGCACTGATAATAATAAAAGCAATATTTTAAATCCAGCTCAGGCCAGTTTCCCTGTACCAGAATACAAATGGTAGCCCAAAACCCTGCACAGTGCATCTGCTTAAATGGTATGCCATTTGTTCAGCTGTGATGCAGAAGCTTTCCTCAAGGAATTGTCTTCAGCTTTTTATATCCAATATTTAATGGCTCATCTTGTAGCCTTGCGGCCTTTTCCCCCTAACTTGAAAACTGCAAAGATTTGTAATTGTCTTTATTTTGCACTGGTTTTCATAAGCTTTTTTTCTCCTATAATTTCTCCTTGATATGGAATTGAGTGAGGAAAATTAAAGGAAAGAAAAAAATAAATTCTACTTTACCACTAAAGCACCCTCCATCTTCTTCAGGTACGCACTGCTCATTAGCAAATATCACACTAAGACAATTCTTCTAGAGATTTTTAAGAAAAATTCTGTTTTGACACCGGTTTAACACCTCAAAATCTGTATATAGAGCAAGTAGACAAAAACCATCTATTTTGTCATCCTTAATGTTCCCAAATGATTCCTTCCACCACTAACAAAATGCGTATCATGACATACTGGTCTGCTTACAAAAGAAACGGCCCTATTCAACCATTCCTAATGAAAAAGGCCACTGCTTACTATCATGTTTTCTCTAAAATAGACTAAAAGCATGCTGTATTCCCCAAATGGACTTTGTTCAGTTTTCTGTGATATATGCATTTTACTTGTAGTTCACCTGATGGCAGAGAACTCCTAAGCTACTTTTGAAAATGTTAATTTTACTGCCCAGTTTGTTAATGGCAAAGCAAGTTTCCCAACCTGTGAGAGAAAATAAATCTGTTCTATTTCAATTTTAATACCATTGCCATCACGTGTGAGCAACTGTATACCCGTCATGTGTCTGAAGCTCCCCTCAGGGCAGAATTTCCTTAGCTCTGAGTTGGTATCTAACACTCAGCCGCGTTGTTCTGCCTTCTCCAGCACACAGAACAGACAAAGCTCTGAGGCATTACTCAGACCAAGGGAACGCTTCATCCCCTTCACCTGACATGTTGACCTCCTGAGCTTCCTTAGTTGCAACAACTCTTACTTAGTACTTCTCTAACGGTCATAAAGAAAGTACGACAGTGAGGTCTGCCTCACAGAAAGAAAAACATGATTTGCTGCAGCTTTAGGAATTTCCAGGAGAAAAAAGATGGGTACTTAAGTTTAAGCTAAAAAAGCAAGTAAAACCATTTTCGTTGTCTTGCATAAAAGTCTACTGCGTGGCAGTAATGAAGGCATGAGCATTATGGTTTTGTTGATAAGGTCCATTGCTTTCAACTTCAACATATTATCCAAGGATGAGCAAAGGTATGTTTCATCTAGACCTAAGAAATGATGCAATCATTATTTTATCTCTTTGAGTACACCACGTTCTGACTCCTGTAATGAAAAGCATTAATTCAGATACAACAAAGACATTTCTAACTCAAAGCAAAGATATGGACAAAACATAGCCCCTCTGTTTGTAAACATCACATAAATTCCTAAATCTGTAGGTTACAAGGGAAATGTAAACTTTGTGAGGCTACCCTTCCATGTCTCCAGAGTCTCCTTATCAAATCTCCTTTGTGCCTTACCAGTTTTAGTGCCATTAAATATGAGTACACTAGAGTACAACCTTTTGTCTTACTTGATGACAAAGGACATGTCTTACTTTGCCAAACTGAATAAAATCAGACAAGCAAAAACCTTAATTTCTACCACATGACCTAGCTGTAAGGTACTATTCTCCTTGATCAGTCCATGACTTTTCTGAGGTTTTTTTTGGTTTTTTTTCCCCCCTAAAAATTAACTAATCTCACCATTACTGTTTCACCTAGGGGGTAATAATTTTCCAAACCTTAAGATTTACTACCAACCAATTTGGACTGGTGTGTGCCAGAATATAATTTATCCTTTTCAGACCAAACTTTATGGAGAATCCTCATGAACTAACTTGTTATGGCTTATGTGATAGAAAACTTGATCCACCAAACCTCCTGGAATCCTTTCAAGCAACGGATTAGTAGCGGATTGCATCCTCTGTTGAATGAACGAACAAATACCTGACTCACTTCTGGCATAAAGTGTCCCAAATCTACCACAGACCAAAAAGCCAGCTTGAGGGCAAAGATAAAGTATCCAAAAAAGAGGTAAGCGAGCACATCAAAAGATAAGTGATGACCTAAGTTGTGTCAAGAAGCATTGTCCTGGAAATGAAAACACAAAGACATAGCAATACAGAGGCTAAATTAAATGTAAATAGGAAAAGAAAAATTAAAACAGTAAGTGAATTTCTTGAAGGAAAGTCACAGAATGAAACATACACCAATTGTACTCTTTGAAGAGCAAAAGTCTGAAACCATGAAAGAAAGCAGAAATATAACGAAAGAAAAGTACATATATATATATATATATATACACACACACACACATGCACACACACTTAGTAATTTCAAAACAGATATTTACAGGATAAAAGAAGAAAATGATCTTATTTTTAAAAAGCTAAGTAGACACAGTTCATTAGGAATGAAAACACAAACCCTTAAAGACAGTCAAAAGATGGGAAGAAGATAGCAAAGGATTTTGCCTATGACTTCCACTGCAGAATACAGACTGAGAAACTTACGACCACAAAACGAAACCTGTCAACTCCTGCTTTTCAAGTGACAAGGTAAAAGAAGAAGGGTAAAAAGCGTTCTGAAAAACACAGCCAGATTCTCAGATCTGGGAAGCAGCAACATTTGCCTACTATAACAGCAGGCAAAATTCTATTCCAGCATTTGCCCTAGCAATTCAAGGAGGTCTGCCAGAATCAAGCATGAACTTACACGTTAAGAAGAAATACCAAAAAAGGGGTTGATGTTACTATCTTTTAAAAACCACCTACTACTAAGTACAGCTGAAGAAGAGAGAGAGTCAGCAGCGGACATCAAGAAACACACATACTGCTAAAGCAAAGAAATGGAAATGAATTCAAATAATGTTTTCCCTACAAGGAAAAGACTATTTGGAAAGACAGTCTTTACTTGACGGGAAAGTACTAGCCTCTGACTTCAAAACCAGAAGAACTCGTTAGGCAGGCTTTAAACACAGTAGGTGGTAACACCTACTTTAAAATGAACTGTAGCACACACTTAACACTCTAAACACAAATGAAGAACGCATTTTTTTGGAACAAAACGATTGTTTTAAGTGCTGACTTATTCAAGGTTCTGAAACTAAAGAAAGTCCTTTGCAAGGCTATCAAGACGCTTCAAAACCAGAAGAACTCGTTAGGCAGGCTTTAAACACAGTAGGTGGTAACACCTACTTTAAAATGAACTGTAGCACACACTTAACACTCTAAACACAAATGAAGAACGCATTTTTTTGGAACAAAACGATTGTTTTAAGTGCTGACTTATTCAAGGTTCTGAAACTAAAGAAAGTCCTTTGCAAGACTATCAAGACGTGTTTAATATTGAATGAAGTCTGGAATTCACATGTCTGCAGGAATATGTGGCTGAAAATGGAGACTATCCTAGTACAATTGAACCATCAAAATCCTAAGTTCTCTGTCAGTTACCACCTACTGACAACAGATACATCGAAGACCTCCTCGCTGTTGCGTATTTTAGGGATCATGCAACATGGCATCTGCCAATATATTCTGTCCCCATCCATGTCTGTCCCACTACCAGAGGCTACACTGGCAATGACTGAATGGGACATCTAACGTATCTATGCCGCGCGTTACTTGAATGTTCACGTGCCAGCAAACCCCAGAGGCCTCCCTTCCGCTGTCTGTGCTTTACCATGATAACCTGCAGGGGAAGAGTGAGCAGCCAGGCAGGAGCAACAGCATCTTAAAGCACTACTGTCAAAGATCCAAGGATCAGTGAAGGATCATCAGCAGAGCCCCTACGCAGTCAGGTCTCAATTATCCACGGGTGGATTATCCACTTTGCTGCTTAACTATGCTGCAAGTGCAGAAGCATTTGAGCTGCTTTCATCTGAACTACCTGTGGTCCTGAACTAGAAAATTACATTTGCACTGTGTTGTACTGCACAGAGTGCATGTACTGGTTTGGAAAACTATTATTTCAGGGATGTTTGTGCTCCAGACTCAGCAGCATCCCTGATCTCTCCTCTCCGTTTCACCTCTGCATGTTCTTGCAAGTTAATTTTACAATATTTTCTGTTATTTATATTTTGCATTATCCCATTTCATTGTTTTCCCAGATAATAGAGAATTAACTGTACCTCATATAAACTCAAAACATGGCTGCACAAGGTTACTCAAGGAACTCAAGAGATGATAAATTAAGAAATGCAGTGATCCTAGGTAAGGAGAAGCAACATTAAAATCCATAAGCACAGAATATAAAATTAAAACAAGTCATAATACATTTAAAAAGAAGTGTCCAAAGCAAAAAAAAAAAAAAAAAAAAAGGTAACAGTGATGAATTAGTTCTGGAATTAAACAATAGGGACCATCAAGTATGCCTCATCAATGTGTCATTTAATGCTGGACAAACTTGAAGTGATCTGAAATGGCAATTAAACAATCTAACCAGCCTAAAAAATTTTTTCTATGAAAAACAAACATGCAGTAGTGACACGCTGATGTTCCCAGGTGCTGCATCAAGTAAGCATTACAATAAATAACATGCTAAGAGTAAGTTCTAGTTTGCACAAGTGCATATCCTTAGTAGAAAAAGGACTGCTCATTTGCCGTGTTCTTTCCTCACTCCCACCTTAAGTCCCTGAAAATATCACGATTCAGATGGATTGTGCCACTGTTTCTAAGAGAAGGGAGATTAAGATACTCAAGGTCGCTTCTCAGCTATGAGCAGCAACACCTATTCTTTTTGTTAGCAGCATACCTTCATATCCTTTGCTTAATCAAGAAGAAGAAAATATATCCTAATAGCAAAAAAAAAAAATATTACTGCCGGTGTCTAACTATAAATGAAAAGGCGGGGGCGGGGCAGTGTAGTAAAAACAAGATAAGGACAACAAATTGTCATTTAGATTTCCAAAAAAGTTTTTTGACTCTGCTTTTTTCATGACATAATTTTGCTGCTTTCTTAATAGCTTGGCAGTAATCTTACTAATCTGCATATACATGTATGTTCAAACGAGGCCATATTTATTTTCTTTCATTCCTTCTAAGCATATAGCATTTACCCTACTGGAATTCTTATTCTTTTGTTCATACTCTATAAAACGCGACAGAAATAATTTATAATCAGACATGCATTTGCTAGTATTTCTCTCCACTAGCTTTTACAAGAACTTTTTGCTGTAATACACTCCTAAAAAAAAAAAATTTGAACACCTTTGTGAGACCTTCGCTTCATTAAATAATACAGAACATCTATTTTCGGCATTGTTATAAGCCCTCCTTTAAATATTTCAAACACCATCCAGGCCAATATCCTGAGAATTTTTATGGCTTTGCCCAGATACTTACAGGAAATCATAAGGTAATCTTCACAGTTGCCCTTATCGTCTTGATGTTCCACAGGGATTCCATTGGCATCAATCACTGCTTCTGACGCACAGTCTGCCACCAAGACTTCTTCCGAAACAACATCTGTTCCCAGAGTATCAGTGACAATATCTGCTTCTTCAACATTATCATGAACTACATGTTCTACATGTCCAACTTCAGGTACATGCATTGACTCACTTGTCAGTACATGTTCTGGTATTGACATTGCTTCTGCTGTTATGTCAGAAGCTAAAACATCATCTGGGACAGTGCAATGAGCCAAAGAAACCTCTTCAGCTACGTCTGTGTCCAGCACTTGTTCAGGAATAATGACAGTTTCAGACACATCTGGCTCTTCCATGATATCTGGGCACTGAACATCCTCAATAACAACATCCTCAATGACATCCTGGATTACTACAGAATCTGGATCATCAGGAACAAAATTATGCACAGTTATATCTGAGTCCACTACATCTGAAACAAATACTGTTTCCTGTACTTCCACAACAATCTGATCTCCGTCCATGTGTGCTGCATCAGCTCCTGAAAAATATAATTAAAATAGCATTTAAATTATAAAACTAACTCAGGTGTTCAATACTGAAATTACTTCTATTTGACTCCAACTTTTACACTATGTAGCCATTTAGCAAAACCATCATGATAACATATAAGCAATTAAGATAGGCAAGCACACACAGTAGCCGATAAAGCACTAGCAAACAAGTGATTCTACAGTTCTTCCTATAGCCAAACAAATAACACTTCACAGAATCAGTTTGTTCATATTGCTTGCTCTGAGTAACAAAAACACCAACAAATTGAAAGTGACCACTCTATATGAAATCACTGACACCTTAAAGGAAAGGCAAAATAAACTACAAACAGTTAACAATGTTTAATGTGAACGCTCTGATCTATGTATTATCTCCTGACAGACCTGTTGGATCAAAAAACGCATTTGGCTCATGTGGCTGCAATTCAAGCCCATCTTCATCCATGGCCTTTAACTCTCATCAGTCACAGTGTCTGTAGAAGGTAAAGAAGAAAGGTTATTTAACTAGTAACTATCCGACTAAGAAGATTATCTCTGCCTGTACAATAGTCATTATATGAAAAGATGAAATTCTGGGCATATGGTAGTCAACAGAAAACACCTCTTGTCTGTAAGATGGCCCAGATTTCAGAGTACTTCAGCTTAGGTTTCCAGAAACGCTACTCTGTAGCACCAAACATCCAGGGCCTGAAAAAGAAAGGGTGTGAGAAAAAGAAAGGGATATGAAAAATGTGATTTCCTTATGTTCTTACAAAGCAAAATGTTTTTAAGAGAAAGCCCGAGTACATTCTACCCGAGTCTTTTTGGATGGTAGGGATGCAGCATTCTCAAATCGATAAAGCTTGGGAAGTTTAAGCTAAAGGTAGGTGACTAACAATCAGTAATACATATCGCTCTTTATGTCCCCTATATTCAAAAACTCGGATAGTCAGGAGGAAATAATTATTCCTCTTATGTCACTTCAGAGATTAAAATCATCAATGTTAGCGAGTTCCAGAACATTACATCATGGATCTGTGAATCTCATGTGTGTGAATATTTAAAAGCCACCTGTTCCAAGGCAAACCATCAATTTGCTTTCATAGTAAAAATAGTACCAGTTCTCAAAAATTGACATATGTCAAATTCTACCAGGTTTCTATTATTTAACAGAACGTCAACATTGTTTCAATGCATAACAGCAACTGAAGACTTTTTATCTTCTTAACAAAAGGATGAAGCAAAATCACAAAGTTGAAATACTTGCTAAAAGCTACAACTCTGATCTAAGTTTTGGGGCTTACATGTACGCATTATAACAAGGATCGGGCTATTTGGCTAAAACGGATCTAACAGAAACTTGTACTAGTCCCTCGAACTTAGTACAGCTACCTTCCTAAGTGCTGAACCAGCAAGAGGCAACAGAACAGTGCTGAATGTTTCTGCTCATAGGAAGAATTGTACAAGCAAGTGGAAGGTATGGATTCAGCGATTTTCCTTCCTCCAAACATTTTTCACAGCGATGAGCAGAAACCTCCCCGCTTCCATGATACTATCACAATAGGCCCAGAGGAAGCATTAAGATTCAGTTCAAGGTTTCCATAAATAGTACATTTTTAAAAACGATGTCAACTACCATTTACGGTAAGTCTTTACAGGGATAATTTCTAAGCAAAAGAAAAAATTATCAACTACTCCAAAACACAAACCTATAACCATAATCTGTAGCAAGTATTTTCTAGACTTCACCTTCTTTCTAGGTCAAATTTCTCAGTTCTTCACAGCTAGCCACCGAATTTACAAATGAGAAAAATGTATTTTTTAAAAGTTGAGGATGAAATATAACAACAAATTAAACTAAAGGAAAAACAGCTGCTGTGTGGTGTTTTTCCAAGTGATTCCATACCTCCTGGAATGGGTGATGTTCATTTGGGAAGACCCTAGATGTTAAAGACAGCTGTGCTAACAAATCATCGTGGTGTCCAGCTGGACACAGAACATTTCATAGTTATTCCGAATGCCAAGCTTTTCTGTCAAAGACACCCCCTATTAACAGGAATATTTATTGATGTAGACGCTTTTTTCAAGATCAAGAGTAGAAGAAAAGTGTTTCTTACTCTCAATTACAAGATTATAGCTTGACTGAGGGCAAATCAACTTCTACCATGCCAGAGAAGCAAGAACAGACTAACAAGGTTTGACACAGCTATTTAAGCAAGAATCAATCAGGCTCAAATTTGTGCACTTCTACTTACTAAGTACACACTTGGTCAACTACAAATTTCTTTCCTGTTCATAGTGTCATCTTTTCTGTGTTCAGTTTCTTCCTTTCTGCTGCTTTTTCTCCAGCCTCTTGTATCTTTATCTGCATTATCTTCATTACCCTCTTATTTACTCATTCCCCCACTGTATAACTACAGTGCACTCCCATCGTTCACACAAAACCACGCTACTCATAAATTTAGAAGTCACTTTGTAGCAAAGATTGTATCAGCAATCCAGTTTTTTCTTGGAGGAGGCAGAGGGGACTCAGAATCGGTGGAAATAAATCTCCTCTCTCCTCAGGCAACACCCACATAAGAAGCTGGTGCTCACTCTCCAGGTTTCTGGGGAAAGTCAAGACGCTGTTTCTGACTGTACTTGCGAAGGTTATATTACCATACAAGTTAGCCTCTGATCAGCTGGAACCCAACCATCTTGAAGCCTCAGTTCACCACGAGCTCCTGGAGGAAGTGGCACTCGTTTTCTCTATGTCTTGCTTTCATCACCCACCTCACCACCATGCCACCATAAATTCCTACTTCTTATGATTCATGCATATATCTTTACTATTCTGTTCTTTCCTCAGACTCCTTGCTGTCTCTATTATGGATGCTCTCTTTCGTTTCTGCATCCTCTTCACCTATGAGACCCAGAAGCCACCTCCACTACATCTTGCCTTCCAGAACGAGTCCGCTGCTGCCATCCCATCACCGCCGCTTTCACTGCTGCCCACAATGCAAGCAACAGCTGCTAAAACCAACTCTGTAGCATTCATGACAGTGCAACTGCATCACTAAGACTCCAGCACCAAGAGTGACAGCCCAGACCTTCAACCGCACGCAGCATGACAGCACTGCCTCCTCTGTGTTAGCGTGCTCTTTTCAACTACAGAGACAAAATATTTTGAAAAAGGTAGCCTCATGTTATGCACAAACTGACTGAGGAAGTTTCTCAGGCAAGTAGGTTACCAGACTCATGCTTCGGTACTTGCTCAGAAGAAAAAAGAAAAAAACCCAGTCCCTTCACTGACTTACTATTTTCTTCAATATGATTTCCCATAATGCACTTTTGTGCTCTGATCCTGACAACAGATTCACGTACGCAAATCCCTATAGCTGTGCAGGGCAATGAAGACCTTAACAGTCCTCCAGTTCAGCACAGGAACCCACACACAGAGAAATCTGCTACAGAAAGAGGGCTGAAAGAGGAGGTCGGCCTTTAAAATAGGATTTGGCTAAACTGTCTGAATTGATAAAGGGGCCCAAATCCAAATCTGGAACACAAGAAGGCATCAAGGCATTTGTCCATAGACGGAAAAAAAAAAATCCCTAAAAATTTCCTGAAAGCATTTCAGGATTTGAACGTTCTGACCAGTAGATGAGAAAATACTGCATTTCCTCCTGCTTGCTCTGATCAGTGAATCAGCGCAGTGGTCCACGTTCAGCAAGGGAAAGGACTGTATTCCCAACAGTTCTGTACCAACCTGCAGCTTCATGATGAAGACACTGTTCTCTGACACGAGAACTATCAAAGCTTCTCACTGTGAGCACCACACCAAGCCCAAGTCTTCAAATTCTTTGGCAAATGCCTTAAACTCTGCGATACCATACGGCAAAGAGGCAACCTCAGCAGTTCATTTTCCTGCAAGGTCTCAAGAAGGTCAGGAACTCCTCTTAGTTCTTTCAAGTAATTCTGGTAGACACTTACCTCAGGAATAGGTGCTGGCACCAAAGTAGACAGAAGCAGTTTTCAGTTCTGGTTTGGGAACCAGACACTCTTGAAGAAAAGCAGGTGCCCAGCATGTCCCTACACTTAGTCCTTCTCAACAGCCAAATCTATGTAGCTCATGGTTCAAATTTGGGTAATGTGGAAGCTGCTCTTCTAACTGCCACTAGGTACAAGAGAAAAAGCCTAGGCTCTTAATGCCAGGTTTTCTATCTCCCGAAGGGTAACTAAGCACCTACATCTTTTACTTGGCTCTGGGCCTGTGTCAGCTTCACACAGACCTAGAATTAATATGACCCTGAAATATGCCTAATTCAGTCGGTAAAAGCAGTTCTTACAAATCGACTACTTTAACTGCTTATTCATGGTACACACCTTAAAAGCAGTTCTTACAAATCGACTACTTTAACTGCTTATTCATGGTACACACATTGAGAATTTTTGGTTGGTTTTGCTTTTGTGAAAGCCAAGGCAATGTTTTCCAGTGGAAAGGCAGATAGAAAAATATATATTCGCGGAAGAAATGGTATTAAGCTATCTGCAGTATAATAGAGTAACTTTATAAAATAAAAGGTGGATTTTCCATAAAACTCACCTCGTCAGTCAGTCAAAAAAAGCAATGCAGACATTTCAGTAGCTTACCACATTATAAATAGTTGACTTAACAGGCCTACCAAGGTAATCAAGGTGAAAGAAGAAGAAACGGATGAGTTGTCATGCTTTCAAGAGAGGGCAACCTTAAAAATGGAGTTACTTGGAAAAAAAAGCTTTAGTATGCCTCAGAACTGGTCAGTTTCTCTGCTTCCTCTCAAAAGAGAATATAGGAAAAGAGAAAAAGGAGAAACATCAGAAAAGCCATCCTTATGAAAAAGAAATCCTTAGGAAATTCCTTTGTCTATTACTAAGAAAAGAATAGTGCAGCTGTTCAGTTGTGGACAGAGGCACAAAGCAAGTAACTGCACAGCAAAACTCTGCCCCACCCCAGAAAAAGCAAGGCATAAACAGCAAAATTCCCCATGCCCACGCTCCAGCCCCTACCTATACTAGGACTTAATGTACAACTACAACCAAGCTCCCGTCGTGCCTTGCTACATCCCATTAAAAATTGCAGCACACCCTGTATGTCCCAATGGGGTTAGAGCCCCGAGCTACCCAAAGCTACACTGTGGTTATGAGACAACTATCGGTTCAGTGTACACTATTGCTGCAGTGTAATAACTCTCCCTACATGACCCACTTATGGAGAATGCAATGTACACACACACTCTCAATCACACACACACAAAAGGTTAAAAATTACACTCCTGCAACATCTAACGCTTATCTTGGAAAGAGCCCCCAAGACTATTAGGTGAATAAATGGAAGAATAAAAACAATGTTACAAATATGACAGTGTAATCATTTAGCTGTTTATTTCATTATGCATCTCCCTCTGTTTTGGCAAGAAGAATCAGTACTGCTGTTTTCACTGTGATTTCGTAAAAATCTACAGTCTTTTTTTCTCTTTTGTTGTAGTTCAGTGGTGTGGGCATTTGCGGATAAAGGTTTTTTTTTTTAAAAAAAAAAAAAAAAAGAGGAGGTTTCCTCCAGATTTCACAGAGCTGTTGTGCATCAGGTGACACCAAAGCTCGTTTTCAACAGAACCTGAATCAGGGAAATCGCCAGCCCCGCGTGTCCCTTTGAAAACTACCTGCCACCCTGCTGGGTGTCTCTGCAGGAGAGGAGATGCTCGGGAGGGGAGCCCAGTACCGCGGCGTGTCCCCCCCC